GACACAACACTTTGGAGATTTCAAGAGTTTTAGGGACTGTGTGCCAGGAAACAGAAGAAAGGCCAACTATATATTTTTCTTACTGTAAATCACAAAATCACAATCCCCAAGAGTTATGCCTGAGCAGCCATCTCCTAATCGAAGGAGTAGGACCCATCATCGTTCTGTGCACCGTTTCGTCAACTCAGCCCTCTTCCTGGGCTCCTGTGTTTAGACAATGGGAATGTTGAATATGGGACAAAAGTGAACCAAGCCTTTGATGCAGTAGTGCAACTTACTCCACGTAGAAGAATATGGCAACCATGTCTACGTGAATTTAGCTTCCAACCATTATCCTGCACGTGGGGGTTCCAGGTTCCCCCTTGCATCCCCAGGTCTACCTGTCTGTCTGCAGGTCCTGAGGACTGCGTCTCAGCACAACTGCACATCTTCAGCTTCAGTCGCTGGGGGAGTCACGTGAACCTGATCCAGCTGCTCCCAAAAGTGATGGTGGTCAGCCAGTTGGCCAGGATAGCCGAGTAACTCATTCAGTGGGTTCTTAGCCACTCTTGTCTTCCTCCATGGTCACCGGTGGGGGAGAGGTTTAATCTGGAGCACTTTGGTGAGGGTCTCACCTAAAGTCAGGGAGAGGCACCGGGAGTCAGAGTATACTTTGAGAACATCATAAGATTCAGATCTGTTTAATTCTCCACTTACCAGAGGAGTCATTTTATTAGCAGAAATGATAGCTATAATCTCCAAACAGGGCAATAAAAAACATTTTTTTTAAAAAAAAGAAACAATTACCTTATCTACATAATAATAATTTGTACTCCCCCCCCCCATTTATGAGCACATGCATTGCAGCAGGAATAAAAGCTTCAGGAAGATTTTTGTGACAGAAAAAGTTGAAATGGAGAAAAACGTCATTAATTGCTTATTTCCCACCAAGGGAGTAAGGTTGCCCTTGTTCCATTTCATTGGGAAACCTTTGTATCTGGCTGAAAACGTGCCCAGACCCTCCAGGAGCAGAGCTTGAGGACCACTGCGTTAAACCTTTAAGGCGCTGGGCTGCTGCCTCTGATGGACTTAATCTGCTCCAAATATATGTTGAGCTACCTGACAGCACTTATATAACTCATTTCCTGCACATCACCTTGCTGGGCCGTTTTCTGGATACATGTCTTATCACTGCTACTGGACTGTAAGCTCCTTGAGCGAGGGTGAGGGACGCTGCCTGGCTTTGGTTCCCGTCTCTGTCACTTAGCAGAGGTGTGATCTTTGGCATGTCAGAAAATCTGTTATCGGAAAGGGGTAGGAATCCAGACCCTAAGAGAGGGTTTTTGGATCTTGCACAAGAAAGAATTTGTGGCAAATCCTCAGAGTAAAATGAAAGCAAGTTTATTTTACGAATTAATTAATTAATTAATTAATTTAGAGACGGAGTCTCGCTCTCTCACCCAGGCTGGAGTGCAGTGGCGCAATCTTGGCTCACTGCAACCTCCACCTCCCAGGTTTTTGCAATTCTCCTGCCTCAGCCTCCTGAGTAACTGGGACTACAGGTGCACGCTGCCACACCCGGCTGATTTTTTGTATTTTAGTAGAGATGGGGTGTCACCGTGCTGCCCAGGCTGGTCTGGAACTCCTGAGCTCAGGCATTCTACCTGCCTCGATCTCCCAGAGTGCTGGGATGACAAGGTGTGAGCCACCGCGCCCAGTCGAAAGCAAGTTTATTAAGAAAGTAAAGGAATAGGGAATGGCTACTCCATTGACAGAGCAGCCCCAAAAGCTCCTGGTTGCCCATTTGCATGGTTATTTCTTGATTATATGCTAAACAAGGGGTGAATTATTAATGACTCCCCTTTTCAGACTCTATAGTTTAACTTCCTGACATTGCCATGCCATTTGTCCACTGTCACGCTGCTAGTGGAAGTGTGGCAGTGAGGACCAGAGGTCACTCTTGTGGCCATCTTGGTTTTGGTGGGTTTTAACTGGCTTCTCTGCTGTAACCTGTTTCTTTTTTTTTTTTGAGACAGAGTTTCACTCTTGTTACCCAGGCTGGAGTGCAATGGCGCGATCTCGGCTCACCGCAACCTCCGCCTCCTGGGTTCAGGCAATTCTCCTGCCTCAGCCTCCTGAGTAGCTGGGATTACAGGCACGCGCCACCATGCCCAGCTGATTTTTTGTATTTTTAGTAGAGACGGGATTTCACCATGTTGACCGGGATGGTCTCGATCTCTTGACCTCGTGATCCACCCGCCTCGGCCTCCCAAAGTGCTGGGATTACAGGCTTGAGCCACCGCCCCCGGCCTGCTGTAACCTGTTTTATCAGCAAGGTCTTTATGACCTGTATCTTATGCCAACCTCCTATCTTGTCCTGTGACTCGGAATGCCTAACCATCTGGGAATGCAGCCCAGCAGGTCTTGGTCTTATTTTACCCAGCCCCTCATCAAGATGATGTTGTTCTGGTTCAAATGTCTCTAACATCTTATGCCTCGGTTTTCTTAACTACAAGATGGGGCAGCGGTACCTTCTTCGCAGGCCTGCAGTGAGGACTAAAGGTATGTAAAACACATTAATCGCCATCATTCTTATTATTCTTTTCATATCTCTCACCTCACCTTGCCAGGGCTCTGGCTTCCTACAAGGACTTTGGCTCCTAATGGATTGTACAGATCAAGGTGGCTTTCCATTGTGCCTTGAGTTATTATTATTTTGTAGACAATAGGAGCTCAGTGGCTATCTCCTCTCCTGGGACCTCTGAGGCCTCCAGTGCTCTAATACCCGGAAGGGAACAGAATGCTGTGGGAACATCTCTGGGAGCTTAAGAAACCTATAACCGGGCCCTTCACAGAGATTCTTGTTTTCTTAGTTATCAGTGTGCAGTAATGGTCTAACTATATTCCAGAAGCCAGCTAAAGAAAACAGGTTTACAAAGTCTAGCAATTCTACCAACACCCGACATTAAAGTGTAGAGAGAAAAGATCTAAAAGATGATGATCAGAGGTTTGGATTTACTTGGCCTGGGATAGAAGCTGGGCAATGACGTTTCTTTTAAAAACCAGTGTGGCCTGTGGACAACCAGTGTTTGGCTCCGGGACAGTGGTTCTCCATGCTGGCTGCACATTACAATCTCCTGAGGCGAGCTAAAAAAAAATTATCATGCTCAGGACTCTCCCTCCTAATACTCTGATTCAATTGATCCGACCTGCGACCTGCGTGGGACCCGGATGCGGTTTGTTTTTAAAAGCTCCCCAGGGGTTCTAATATGCAGTTGGGACTGAGCCCTTGTGCTCTGGGAAGTGACAAGATAGGAGATGAAGAGCTTGCAGAGGGTGGGGAGGCTGTGCGGGGTGGGGGTGGGGAGGAGCAGGAGGATCCAGGGAGACCCTTCACTGCTGTCTGTGAAAGCAGCAGCTTCCTAGTTCTTGACTCCTCCCAGCACATGATCTGAGACTGGAGGAAAGAGCACAGAGGAAAGAACACAGGTTTTGGAGTAAGACCTGTTTGGCACTGCCCTTCAAGTTGGGTGACTTTGGGCAAGTCCTTTATCCACTGTGTCTCTTGGGTGATGCAGTTAGAATTTGGTCTGATCGTCGTCCATATAGCAGCACTCTGTAGCTGGGAGCTGTTGTCCTTAGTTTAGTAAGCATTTGAGCCTCTTGTTTTTCTTTTATTTATTTATTTATTTTCTTCTTCTTCTTATTACTTTTTTTTGCATTTTAGGTTTTGGGGTACATGTGAAGAACATGCAAGACTGTTGCATAGGTACACACGTGGCAGTGTGATTTGCTGCCTTCCTCCCCATCACCTATATCTGGCATTTCTCCCCATGCTGTCTCTCCCCAACTCCCCACCCCCTGCTGTCCCTCCCCTATTTCCCCTCAACAGACCCCAGTGTGTGATGCTCCCCTCCCTGTGTCCATGTGTTCTCATTGTTCAACATCCGCCTATAAGTGAGAACATGCAGTGTTTGATTTTCTGTTTTTGAGTCAGTTTGCTGAGAATGATGGTTTCCAACTTCATCCATGTCTGTACAAAGGACTCCAGATGGATTAAAGACTTAAACATAAGACCTAACGCCGTAAAAACCCTAGAAGAAAATCTAGGCAAAACCATTCAGGACATAGGTGTAGGCAAGGACTTCATGACCAAAACACCAAAAGCATTGGCAACAAAAGCCAAAATAGACAAATGGGACCTATTCAAACTCCACAGCTTCTGCACGGCAAAAGAAACAGTCATTAGAGTGAATCGGCAACTAACAGAATGGGAAAAAAATGTTTGCAGTTTACCCATTTGACAAAGGGCTGATATCCAGAATTTACAAGTAACTAAAACAGATTTACAAGAAAAAAATGAATAAGCCCATTCAAAAGTGGGCGAAGGATATGAACAGACACTTTACAAAAGAAGACATACATGAGGCCAACAAACATATGAAAAAATGCTCATCATCACTGGTCATTAGAGAAATGCAAATCAAAACTACATTGAGATACCATCTCACACCAGTTAGAATGGCAATCATTAAAAAATCTGGAGACAACAGATGCTGGAGAGGATGTGGAGAAATAGGAACACTTTTACACTGTTGGTGGGAGTGTAAATTAGTTCAACCATTGTGGAAGACAGTGTGGTGATTCCTCAAGGACCTAGAAATAGAAATTCCATTTGACCCAGCAATCCCATTACTGGGTATATATCCAAAGGATTATAAATCATTCTACTATAAGGACACATGCACACGAATGTTCATTGCAGCACGGTTTACAATAGCAAAGACCTGGATCCTCTTGTTTTTCTTTTTATTTCTTATTTTTTTTATTTATTTTTATTTTTTATTTATTTATTTATTTTTTTTATTGACCTATTCAGGGATTTGATTTCTTTCTGTTTAGTCTTGGGAGAGTGTATGTGTCCAGGAATTTATCCCTCTCTTCTAGATTTTCTACTTTATTTGCACAGAGTTGTTTATAGTATTCTCTGATGGTTTATAGTTTGTATTTCTGTGGAATCAAAAAATATGAAATGCTTCACTAATTTGCATGTCATCCTTCTGCAGGAGCCATGCTAATCTTCTTTGTATCATTCCAATTTTAATATATGTGCTGCCAAGGCAAGCACCAATCAACATTTTTTTTTTTTTTTTTTTTTTAGAAAGAGAAAAAGAATAATAAGAAAAAGAATAAAGAAGAGAAAAAAAGAGAAAGAGGAAGAGGGAGAGAGGATGGGGGTATTGCTTTGTTGCCCGGGCTAGAATGCAGTCTAAATATGGGTATGCCTATAATTGTCCTTAATAATGGAGACATGAAAGAAAATGAGGGAAGAGAGTAACAAACAAGGAGCCAAACAACATTTCGTTTAAACTTCTAAGTTGATATGATGTGGTACTGATAAGAGTGTATATTTTGTGTAAAGTGGAGAGTTCTATAAATGTTAATTACGTTTACTTGTTCCAGATCTGAGTTCAAGTCCTGGATATCGTTGTTAATTTTCTGTCTCATTGATCTGTCTAATATTAATGTTGAAGTCTCCCACTATTATTGTGTGGGAGTCTAAGTCTCTTTATAAGTCTTGTATGTCTGGGTATTCCTGTATTGGGTGCGTATATATTTAGGACCTTTAACTCTTCTTGTTGTTGCATTGATTCTTTTATCATTATATAATGTCCTTCTTTGCTTCTTTTGATCTTTGTTGCTTTAAATACTATTTTATCAGGCAAAAATTGTAACTTCTGCTTTTTATTTATTTATTTTTGCTCTCTGGTTGGTTGGTAAGTCTCTCTCCATCCCTTGTTTTGAGTCTTTGTGTATCCTTGAATGTGAGATGGGTCTCGATGCAGCATACAGTTTTAGTTTTTTGTCCAAATTGCCTGTCTGTCTTTGAATTGGGGAATTTAGTCAATTTAAGTTTAGAATTAATAATGATATATGTGAGTTTAATACTGCCATTTAATATTAGCTGGCTATTTTGCCCATTAGTTGATGTAAATTCTTCATTATATTGATGTTCTTTACTTTTTGGTATTTTTTAGAAAGGCTGATACTGTTTGTTCCTTTCTATGTGTAGTGGTTCTTTCAGAAGCTCTTGTAAAGCAGGCCTGGTGGTGATGAATTCTCTGAGTGCTTGCTTGTTCACAAAAAACTTTATTTTTCCTTCGCTTATGAAGCTTAGTTTGGCTGGATGTGAAATTCTTGTTGAAAGTTCTTTTCTTTAAGGATGTTGAATATTGGTCCCCACTCTCTTCTGGCTTGTAGGGTTTCTGCTGAGAGATCTGCTGTAAGTCTGATAGGCTTCCCTTTGTGGGTAACCTGACCTTTCTCTCTGGCTGCCCTTAGTATTTTCTCCTTCATTTCAACCCTGGTGAATCTGATGATTATGTGCCTTGGAGTTGCTCTTCTTGAGGAATATCTTTGTGGTGTTCTCTGTATTACCTGGAGTTGAATATTATCCTGCCTTACTAAGTTGGGAAAATTTTCCTGAATAATATCCTGAAGCATATTTTCCAGCTTGGATTCATTCTCGTCGTCACATTCAGGTACACCTATGAAGCGTAGATTAGGTCTTTTCACATAGTCCCATATTTCTTGGAGACTTTGCTCATTCCTTTTTATCCTTTTTTCTCTAATCTTGTCTTCTAGTTTTATTTCATTGAGTTGGTCTTCGACCTCTGATATCCTTTCTTCTGCTTGATCAATTCGGCTGTTAAAACTTGTGCATACTTCACGTAGTTCTCGTATTGTGTTTTTCAGCTCCATCAATTCACTTATTTTCCTCTCTAAATTTTGTATTCTTGTTGACATTTCGTCAAACCTTTTTTCAAAGTTCTTAGTTTCTTTAGATTGTGTTAGAACAAGTTCTTTTAATTCACAGAAGTTTCTTATTATCCACATTTTGAAGCCTGCTTCTGTAATTGGAACACACTCGTTCTCCATCAAGCCTTGTTTTGTTGCTGATGAGGAACTGGGATCCCCTGCTGAGGAAGAGGCGTTCTGATCTTGGGTATTCTCAGTCTTTTTTGACTGTTTTCTTCCCTTCGTTGTAGATTTATCCATCTGTGGTCTTCATAATTACCGTCTTTGTAATTGGGTTTCTGAGTGGACGTCCAACTTATTGATTCTCAGCGCCGAAATCTGAGCAACCCACTGCGCCGACTCAATCAGCGGCGTTAAGATTGATGGTGCTTTTCTGACTCTGCACCAAGAACCGACGCTCTGAGGCACCGGCAAAACCGCCTCGCCAGTCACAAGAGTCGCACTGGCGACCCGTGGGGCTCCTCCGCTGGGAATCTCCTGGTGCGTGAGTAACGAGAATTCACGTGAAGGTGAGGCGTCCTCTCGTTCTTTGCGTTTTCACTGGGAGCTACAATCCCGAGCTGCTAGTGATCAGCCATCTTGGATCTCTCTCCCTTTTCTTTTTATTTCTTTGGAAGGTAGCTGGTTGGAACCTTCTGAGCCCAAGGAGGTAATTGCATCCTAAAAGCAATTTGTTCATGCAGGGTGGTGGGGGGCGGGGGGCTGTGTTTGCAGTCAGAGGCTCCAGATGGCTCTTCCACAGCTCCAAAGACCCCTGACAGTGTTTCCTGAACCAGAGACCAAAGAACCAGACTAAATCTCAAAAAGCATACGAAAAATCGTGAATGCTTAAGCTGGGTGTGGTGGTGTATACCTGTAGTCCCAGCTACTCAGGAGACTGGGACAGGAGGAAGTCTTGGGCTCAGGAGTTCAAGGCCAGCCTGGGCAACATGGCAAGACCTCCATCTCTAAAAAATACCTGTGATTGTTTATATAAAAAGGCTTATATCAACATAAAAATTCAATGGCTTTAGGTAACATTTTGTAATTTTTTCTTTCTGTTTTAGACAGGCTCTCAGTCCTGTAGCCCGGACCAGAGTACAGTGGCACAATCACGGCACACTGCAGCCTCGACTTCCCTGGCTTGGGTGATCCTCCCATCTCAGCCTCTGGAGTAACTGGGACTACAGACATGCACCACCACACCTGGCTAATTTTTGTATTTTTAGTAAAGATGAGGTTTTACTATGTTGCCCAGGCTGGTCTCAAACTCATAGACTCAAATGATCCACCCGCCTACCTCAGCCTCCCAGAGTTCTGAGGTTACAGATGTGAGCCACTGCACATGACCATAATTTTCTTTTAATGCAGAGATGTGTAGATTTCAGATTTTGATATAGTATTTGATCATCTAAAACTAGAGCCAGTCTGGAAACTTTAAACCAGGCATTCTAAGCTTGTATCTTTAGATTCCTCATAGCATTTAGGTACTCAGAAAAGAAAAATCAAATTCAGAGATATGTGGAGATAAGTAAAAATCTAGTCGGTTACTCTCTCATTCCTATAGTCTCTACTGTTTGAAATATGAAATATAAATTATCTATTGCTATTATAATAATTCTTTTGGCTGGGCGCATTGGCTCACACCTGCAACCAGCACTTTGAGAAGCCAAGGTGGGCAGATCACGAGGTCAGGTGATCGAGACCAGCCTGGCTAACATGGTGAAACCCCGTCTCTACTAAAAACACAAAAATTAGCTGGGTGTGGTGGCAGGTGCCTGTAGTCCCAGCTACTCAGGAGGCTGAGGCAGGAGAATCGCTTGAACCCAGGAGGCGGAGGTTGCAGTGAGTCAAGATTGCACCACTGCATTCCAGCCTAATGACAGAGCGAGACTCTTTCTCAAAAAAAAAAAAAAAAATCATTTCTCATGTACTTTTTTCTTTCTTTTCTTTCTTTCTTTTTTCTTTCTTTCTTTCTTTTTTTTTTTTTTGAGACAGGGTCTCCCTCTGTTAGCCAGGCTTCAGTGCAGTGGCACAATCGCAGCTCACTGTAGCCTCAACCTCCCCGACTGAAGTGGTCCTTCTGCCTCAGCCTTTCAAGGAGCTGGGACTACAGGTGCGCGCCACCATGCTAGCTAAGTTTTGGTAGAGACGGGGGTTTGCTATGTTACCCATTCTGGGCTCAAGGGATCCGTCCGCCTCGGCTTCCCAAAGTGCCAGGATTACAGGCAGGAGCCACGACACTCGATCTCATTTCTCATTTCCTACTGGTCGTTAAAGTTGTCATTACCACTGGCCAAATTCATCCTGTTCGGTACATATTATGAAACGCTCAAAGCAAGCTCATGAGGGTCCTGATTAATAATGGGACCCATTACAAGTGCGGCTCCACAGGGCAGAGGCTACTTTTGTTCTCTACTTTTTAAAAAGTATGTGTTTAAAACGGTGTAGCCAGCTAGCTTCCACTGCTGCACTGACACAGGCACACAATGTGTAACTAGATTTTAAGGGCAGGAAAGCGTGGCGTGAAAGACGAGGTCGCTAGCTGTCGCTGTAGGTAGCTGTAGCCACCTTATCCCTTCTGCCATGCTTTCTTGCCCTTAAAATTTAGTTATACATTGTGTGTCTGTATCAAAACATGGCATGCACCCCTTAAATATATATAACTATGATGTACTCCTAATAACAAAAAATTAAGTTATTTTTTAAAAGAATAAAAAAGTCTAGTTGGAAGAGGTGAAGGGAAAAGGTGAGAAGCAATGAAGGAGGGCCGATCACACCTGGAGGGTGGGAGGAGGCGGCTTAAGACAGGGCAAGTGTGTAGAAGAAAGAAGTCACAAGAGCGAGGCTGTGACTTATACTCAGTCTTGTATAATCACTTAGTGGTTTTGCTTGGTGATTCTCAGGAGCAAAATGTTCATGGTAAAGGTGGTATAGAGAAATTAGTGTAGGGAAGTATATACAAGAAGTATATGCTGTATGCTGGTAATTTTTTTTTTTTTTTAAGACAGTCTCACTCTGTCATCCGGGCTGGAGCACAGGGGTGTGATCCTAGCTCCCTGCAGCCTCGACTTCCTGGGCTCAGGTGATCCTCCTGCCTCAGCCTACAGAGTTGCTGAGAGTACAGGTGTGAACCACTACTGTCAGCTACTTAAAAAAAAAAACTTTTCTTTTGTAGAAATGGGATCTTGCTATGTTGTCCAGGCTCATCTCAAACTTCTGGTCTCAAGCAATCCTCCTGCCCTGGCTTCCTAAGGTGTCGGGATTACAGGCATGAGCCACGAGGTCTGGCCTGGTAAATGTTTAATAACGGACTCTGGGGGGATTTAA